CTATGCAAGTCTAATCAAATAAATCAATTGTTATCGCTAAATCCACTGGGAATATACTTTAGCCTACAAACAAAGGTACAAGAGCTTATACTAAGCATCTCTTAAATTAGCTCTCATCAAACTATATCCGTAAAGAAATAGTACTAACTATAACCGTAAATCACCTCTAAGAATTTAAATAACGTAATAAAAATAATGCTATGAAAAAAGAATTAGAAGTCCTTCAACAGAAAAAATATGAGAATTAGTGAGATTACTAAAGAAAAAAAAAAGTGAAATGTAAATGGATCTTTATAGTAAAATATAAAGACAATGGCTCACTAGAAAAGTATAAAGTCAAACTAATGGTTGTAATAGCACAAACTTTCACCCATCTATATATTGTCTACTTTGACATAATGGCCTCACAATTGTCTCATCGATTTAATTATCAAGGATAACATTCGCTTCGAGACTATTCCCGTGCGAGCATGCTTAACAACGAAATTTCTAATTAGATTACAACAGTTGTACCGAAATCCATCTTGATGTTTAAAAGTTCAACGATATTCTACTGGAACGATTTCAAAATCTTCCCTACGTAAGTACCCAATATTTTTGTCAGTATTCATAATCCAGAATCATCCACCATGCAAATAGAATTTTAAAGATAGCTCCTTATAGATACAAGAGGTGCCTACGGCCATGTAACACTTTATACAATTTAGAATTCAAGAGGTGGTTCCTATGACATAATACTTTGTTCTGCATGGAACTTCATTTCCATATTCAAGCTAGTGTAACACTATGATGCTATTTATAACAGCTTAAACTCACACCCATCGAGAAATTATTCACATTGTCTTAGTTGCCTCAAAGCTTTGTCACGCTGATATAATTTTTTGGGAGGTCGCCCATACTAAAAGCCATCCCATAGGAGAATGCCTAATTTTGAAGATTTTAATGAAATTCCAACCATTACACCAAACAACGCCTCAATGTTTAAGAGTTTAGGTTCATTTTGCTTTTAAGGGGTTTCATAATCTCAACCACATAAAAAATAGCATCGTCCTCAATTTCCTTAACCCAAAATTATCCACTCGACAGATAAGATTCTCAAGGTGGTTGTTGTCATATAAAAGTGGTTTTTGTCATATAAAACCTTATCCATCTAGTGTATACGAGGCAGCTCTCATAACATAACATCTTGTTCTGTATGACACTTAATTCTCAACTTCAGGCTAATAAAATGAATGAAACTATTTGTAACAGTCTGAATTCTCACCAATCGAAATATTATCTAATTTGGCCTAATGATCTCAAGATTTTGTCCCATCAATATAACTTCCTAGGAGGTAGTCATTATGAGAGTACAGGAAGTCACTCATCTTGAGAGTACAGGAAGTCACTCATCCTGAGAATGCTCCTATACTAGCAAGCTTAACCATGGATTTTTGGATAAAATTCTAATCATTAAACCAAAAAACTCGTTGATATTTAAAAGTTCAGTTGTATTCTATTTAAAGGGTTCATAGTGGCTAAAAGCTACACTCAAATTTATGGGATTATATAACTAAAAACATTCACTCTAGAGCAAAAAATAGATATTATTTCAGTTCCTTTATCAAAAGCAACTAACAAGAACTAGAAAATACAATAATGAGATGTGAAACATACCTTCTTTCATGGTGATCAATAGGAGGTATATATGAAGGTCCCATCAAGATTTGACTCAAATATAGAGTAAAAAAATACATGAATTAAAACGGCATTGTATAGATTCAAGTAAACTTCAAGGGCATAGTTCAAAAAATTCACCAAGGTAATGCTCAATAATGGATACAAACAAAGTCAAGAAGACCATATATTATTTGTGAAATAAAACTTTACGGAGAGTCTTCGCATTATTAGTTCATGATAGTTGAACACCTTGAAGGAATAGAGAATTTAAGAAAAGTTAAGAAATTAGGTAAGCTAAAGTACTTCACTCATTTTAAATTTGTACACTCACGATATAAAATTCTTATATCATAACAAAAATAGATAAAATATCTATTGGAAGAGAGATCCATTAGATACAAGGCTATCAAGAACCCCATGAAATTTTATAATAAATGTAGAGATGCTCCGGAAGAAATAACAATTGAAAAAGTTTACCAAAGACTCGTGGAAAGACAAATTTGTTCATCACATACCAAGCCCAATACTACCTATGTTGCTAGTGTGATAAGTTGATTCATATAAAATCTTAAAAACTCAAATCTTGAGGCAAATGTATCAAATTCCACAAAATTTAAAAGGAAACCTATGTAAGGAAATTTTACAAAACTAAAGGAAAATATAACCCTTAAAACTTGTAAATATACAGTTTATGTAAGTTCTATGGTTGACCAAAAGTCAGCATAAGTTATTGCAACTTTTTAACATCATAACTCAAATAAATAATTAATTAAAATGTGGTAGCAAAATCTAGCACAAAAATAGAAATTATATCTACAATAGTACAAATCTACAAATTATTACATCTAAAAATTATAACGAAAATATCAAAAATTAAGTGGAAATGTCAGTCTTTATCATGATAGCAAATCAGTCATCAATATTACAGGATCTTGTACAATAAAATTATACTAAACATATTGAAATTGATAGAAATTTTATAAAAAATAAGCTGAACAATGGCCTAATTTAAATCCTGTCAGTTACCACAAATAAACACCACATAGAAATTCCTTCCAAGGAATAGGGGCAATTTTTAAAAATAATATCCATTCATTCGCTTGAATGGAGAGTATTTCGACGCTTATAGTCAAATGTCTTTCTCAATTGCAGTCAGTGATTCCATCTCCCAGGTTACATAGTTAAAATGCCTATTCGCTATCCACCCAGCAACTTACCTTGCAATTGTCCTTGCAATTGTCCATCTTGCTAAGCCGCCAATTAGCTCTAATATTCCACCCCTACCCGCCAAGCTTTCCACCTTCTTTTTCATTGCCACCTCACCAATCCATGCTCATTATTGCCATGTTACTAATCTACATGTTGCATTGATTGTAATAAACCACCTGATGTTTTCCTAGAGTTGTATACAGTCAACCCAAATACACAACCAATTTCTTCAATTCTTCTCAGAATTCAAACACATTTAAAAAATATCTTATGAATTATCACATCATGCACTTCGTTATTTAAATTTGAATATAGTACATGACAAAATTCTAATTTTGAGAAGTACAACTATCTTATTTAACACAAAGCAATCAGATAATGTAAGTCCCTACTTTTGAATTTCAATTAAAACTGAAAACTATAACCATTTCATCATGTAGTAACTTCTAAATTTGAATTCAAACTTATACATCATTACCTAATATTCACATAATTTATTCAATGGTTAAATGGATATGGAATATAACATTATCTTTAAGTTTACTATTAATTTTCTTGTATTTTGAAATTCAAAGGGCTTTGCTTAATCTTCGATAACTTAGGCTAAAGTAAGACCCCTAATAGTGTAATCAATAATTTAGGAGATTTACTTACATACCACAAAATTCCTATATATTTACATATTGTACTAGGTCTTTCTACTGACTTATATAACACTTAAATCTCTAAATCACATAAAAATAAAACTGATAACAATTAATATAAGTAACACAAATTTTTCAAGCATATATTTGATGTGATTCAGACACTAAAGAGTTATATAAATAAATAAAAATATTTAGGTGTTAAATATATAAAACGAAACTAGATGCATAATAAGAGTGTCATATAGCATGGTTATTTTGAATTTGAATTAAAAGCTAATTATGATAGCATGCATGTCATTGCTTTTAATTTAAATTTCAATGCAATCATATGTAAAATTTAACTACCAGACCATTCATGTGATTTATTTTAAATGTGAATTAATTTCAATATAATTATCATAATAAATTTTTATCTTTCACAATCATTGTTTATAATTTGAATTCAAAATGAAAACTATAACTCCATGGTCTCTATTAAATTTTGTATGCCAATTATTTTAAATTTTAATTAAGGGTCTGATCGGGATAGTTGCAGCTGTTTGAAGAAGCAGATGTGAAGCTGCTGCAAAAAAAAATTGCTATTCAAAAAGCTACGGTGGTTTTTTTTTTAAAAAAAAGTCATACTACAGTTTTTTAGCAGTCACCGCACTTAGTCAGGTTACGTTGCAAAATGCAGCTTTCCACCACAACTTATTGAAAAAATAAACAAAATGCAGCTTGTCAAACACAAAAAATTGTGGTGTTGCACCACACTGCTACTCCAAACGCAAGTCTTTATATTTTCAATTAAATTTATTTACTTAACCTTTTTAATCAATTTAGATCGAGCTAGAGCCTTACAATACAACTAGCAATTTAATATATTTTTTATTATTTTTATCATCCATTGCAACCCAAAGATATTTACTAATTCTGGATAATTTTTCAAATCGTATAGATTATTAGAAAAATTATTTGAAAGATGCATAGTTTTCAACACAAAAAGTTAAATTTGATTAAAGCCAATTGCATGAAGTTCATGGTTTTCTCAACCCTTCAAGCTATCATTCTAATAGAAAACCATTAAATTTCCTCTAAATTGAATTTTATAGTTTTTTTTAGTTTCCAACAAGGCTAATCTATTAGTATTTTAAGCCAACAGTTTGTGACCTGCAAAATGTGTGTGCAAGTTTTGAGGTTTTCTGCATCGAACATTATATCTGTATCACAAAATCCAAGTTCCCTGACATTGTGCATAAGAAAAGCTACAATTAAGGTTTAATATGACATTGACATTTCATAACAAATAGATCTTTGGTAAATAACAATCACAATAAGAAATGAAACGCTGATTTTTAGACCCAAAATCTTTCATGTTGAAATAAGCAAGAACCCTTAAATTATTTGACTACCAACCTGACATACTTAACAATAATAAAACAAGAGAAAAAACCACCAAAATAAATAGGTTATTCATGACAGTGCAATATGATTTCTGACACATACTCTGGAAACATCACCCCTGCATCAATTAAGATATAACGGTCATAGTTTCCAACTAGCATGCAGTTCATTCCAATTTCCCCTAAACCACCTATAGGAAGTACTCGTATAGGTGGTCCATTTGGTCCCTCGTAAAACTGTTCCAATTTTCGTTGAACTGAATCATCCATGCTTTTCCCTGATCCATCAGTCCTAGATCTTCTACGTGGAGATTTTGATCTTTGCACACCTATATGTGAGTAAGTCAACACAATAGGAAAGAAGTAAAAGGATGAAAATAAAAGAAACGGACAAAAAATTAACAAGCATATTACATGATATTACATGCACAAGCATTTTTGTTAGCCGGGCATAAGAGGGGAAAAACATTGTCCACTATTTTTACTGCCTATCAAAAAAGAAAACATCACATATGCAGCAAGTACTAAAGAAGTATATGAAAAAGAGCTCTGGTCACGCTTAAGCTTGACCTTATTTAATTGTGAAAGAAGCTCACTTGAATACTAGTCAAGTTAATGTCAATGTGTATGAAATGGTTCATTGACTAAGTATAAATGATAGCCTGGTAAACCGACACGCGTTTAAAACATAGCAAGAAGATGAGTCTTCACCACAAAATAGTCTAAGCTGGTAGCCCTTCTGCTAATTGGAATTTCCATTTGCAAGATAAGGTAGAAGTCCATACTTCATGCTGAGACGCTTATAAATGCGCTCCTCAACCTGAACAAAGCTTATGAATTGATGGTTTGAGTTTCCATCATAGAGTCTAACATCTAAAACCACAGTAGCATCGATTATTCTACTAAATAAAAATTTTGATCATGAATGTGATGATATTTTCATAAAAAATACATATCAATATGAACTAACATATCATAATCTTGGTGTGAAAAGATTTATTCACTTTGATGCCCTCACTTTTATGCCCAATTGAATTCTAACAGACAACAAACTAGCCACTTCAGTTTATTTCCAACCTTACAAGAAACTTTAACAAAGCCTTATAGTCATATGCGTCAATTTCTTTGCCCACATTCAAATGAAATTAAGTGCATAAAAAACTTGCTAATAGAAAAAGGGTATTGATTTATATCAAATAGAAGGAACTTTGGCTGGTTATGCATTCATTACAAGAAATTAAGCAAGCCTACAGTTAAGTAACATTTGTTGAGGATCGATGATTTGTTTGACCAACTTTAAAGAACTTTCATTTTCTCTAAAATTCATTTCAAATCAAGGAATCAACAATTGTGAATTAAAGAAGAAAATATAACAAAGCATTTAGTGCAGATATAAAAACTATCAGTTTGTTGTGTTGTTTTTTGGCACCAACGAATGAGCAATCCATGAAGTGGGTGCCGAATTTGAGGTCACAGCCTCAGAACACAAATATTTATAGCCATGATATCCTGCAAATAATATTTCCCAGATTCCAATTATAATTGAGATGTTTATATTCTTATCGAAGAAAATCAAACAAAAAAATAAATGCTGAGCTTGAGGGAAGTAACAAAAAAAAAAGAGTTTACTAGCTCTAAAAAGAGTCTTGTTAAGTTGAAGAGATATAGAGATAGGAATCTAAGAAATGACATCTTTCTCCCTGTCGATGACCCATTTCTTCTACTTCTGAATAGGAATTAAGAATCAAGATTAATAACCTCATTTTCATGTTCACTTGCTTGAAGTGTCAAACATATCCTCTTCTTATATCATGTTGGTGGTTACAAAAAAGTTGACATGCTTGAAAAGCTTATTTCTTAGCACGTTATCATTTGAAATTGTTGTCATTGACATTCAACGAAAACAATATAACAATGGTCTATATCCTACATCAATCTATGAAAACGTGACATTGAAAATGATCTAAAACTTTTAATCATTAATAGATTTCATTTTAAGAAACTCAACTTTGCATTCCAACCTACTCTATATAAAGTGGTGGTTTAGAAGGACATCTTGAAGGAGATAGAATGCTAGTTGAGATTTTAGAATATTACTTTCATCAAAAATGAAAAGAGACATGTCGTATTTAGTGAGAAAGTTGTACGACTGTCAAAATGAAGAAGATAGAAAACAAAATGATATTTGATCAACTCTTTCCAACTTCAAATCATATGTGGGAGGACCTAAGCATGGATGTAAGGCTGATTTTTCACGCACACTAAGAGGTCGTAGTTAAATCCTTACTGTTATTAATTGTTATTCTAAGATGGCATTTTTTTTATGTGAAAATATTATTCATAGCAAAAATATTCTTGATGATCCCAATGATGCAAAAGCATTTCTTTAAGGAGATCATGAAGCTTCATAGAATGTAAGAGATTACCAGCTTGGATTGAGAATAAAGATTTATGAGCAGTTTTTTTTATGACACTATAGATGATCCCCATGACTCAAATATAATTATTAAGTTTCTATCACCTCAAGTTTATTGGTAAACTCAAATTGTCATTCAATCACTAAATGACATGCTCCGACACCAACAAAAAAGGGGCAGCCTCCCTGCTTAAGCTCAATTTACTTACAACTCCTCTAGATGTTGGTTAAGCCAAAGAAACACATTTTAAGTGGTCAACAGAATAAACACTAGGCGCATCATAAATCATCTGCCAACTAGCCTTATGAGAGGTTTTAAAAGTAAATGAACTCGTAAGCAACATCAAGATATGCAAGAAAAAGTAATAAGAGAATTGTACGAAAGGTACAAGAAGAATGCCGCCTAAACATGGAGTAACTGTCACTTACAACAAGCTCAAGAATAAAAGGGATTAGTCAATGTTGCATTGTAATGATTTTTTGGTAAAATCCTTGCAAAACTGAGTATCATATTGGATATGTATTAGTCCAAAACTCAACGTTCAGTTTAGCAAACTTATATTCTACCATAGTGATACAATAGAAACAATAAATGTGATGTTTAGTTTATTTTATGAAGGGAAGTATCATAAAGTAGCCAAAGACGCCAACCTAAAGCCATTTATAAAACATGCAACCAAAAATCATATTAGAAGCAAAAGGTGTTTAACTAAAAGAACATGATTACCGTTTCTGAGAGTTTTTTATTATGATAATTGTTAAACTTAATTTTTGAACCTCACGCTCATCAAAAAGAGAGGGAGAGAAAGCCTTCTTTTTCTTACAATACTTACCATGTGACTTAGTGAAGCCTCTTTTCAACTTTTCACTTCAATTGTTTGCTAATATATTGTGCTAGGCAACATTATACCATGATTATAAATTAACTCAAACGTGAAAAGGAATGCAATAGAATATTCAACCTGCAAAATGCCAGCACTAGTTATGTTGATTTCATCTAGCCAAAGCTTACTCTATCTCAAGTAAAAGTATTTAGCAAAACCTAATGAAAGGTCAAGGCATTTTGCTTTCTTAGATATGCCAATTAAATTTTCACAATTGAACATCTTGCTCTTGTTATACAAACATCATCATGACACCATTAGAACAAAATGTGTCATCCCTACAAGCTTTGATGCCATTGCCACAAGCTTTGAATGTGAGAGCTGTTATTTATCATTAATTTATTAGCATGCTTCTGGCACAGTCTCTATGTTAGAAGATTCAATCAGAATCCAACTTAACAATCAAATCTTCAATGTGGCACAAATGAGGTGTCAGTATAAAATTTGCAAGCACAATTTTAGCAATGCATAGTATAAACGTGAAGATAGGTCGAATTCAATTTCTACAAGGAGAATCAATTGGAATGAACTCTTTTCAACTTTTCACTTCAATTGTTTGCTAATATATTGTGGTGGGCAACATTATACCTTGATTACAAATTAACTCAAACGTGAAAAGGAATGCAATAGAATATTCAACCTGCAAAATGCCAGCACTAGTTATGTTGATTTCATCTAGCCAAAGCTTACTCTATTTCAAGTAAAAGTATTTAGCAAAACCTAATGAAAGGTCAAGGCATTTTTCTTCTTAGATATGCCAATTAAATTTTCACAATTGAACATCTTGCTCTTGTTATACAAACATCATCATGACACCATTAGAACAAAATGTGTCATCCCTACAAGCTTTGATGCCATTGCCACAAGCTTTGAATGTGAGAGCTGTTATTTATCATTAATTTATTAGCATGCTTCTGGCACAGTCTCTATGTTAGAAGATTCAATCAGAATCCAACTTAACAATCAAATCTTCAATGTGGCACAAATGAGGTGTCAGTACAAAAGTTGCAAGCATAATTTTAGTCATGCTTAGCATGAATGTCAACATAGGTCGAGTTCAATTTCTACAAGGAGAATCAATTGAAATGATTTTGCAATTAAAATTAATCATTTCATGAACATTTTGGCTTATATAGAGCCATAAAATATTTACAAATAAACCCATAGATTTCTTTTATTTACAAATAGAACCCTACATTAGATACAAATCTCAACAGTCCCCCCTAAGGTGGGCGAAAAATATTCACTAAGCCCATCTTGTCACATAATCAACTCCACTGAGCTAAGTCCTTTAGTGAGGCAGTCAACCACCTACACTCCAGTAGCTACATGACTTAGTTCCAACAATCCGTTATTCAGCTTTTCCTAGATGAAGAATCTATCATTTTCCACATGATTAGTTCTATCGTGTTGCATCAGGTTGTTAGCAATGTTGATCGCTGAATAGTTGTTGCACAATAATTTCATTTGCGTTAATTCCACTTTGAGTTCAACCAACAAGTCTTTTAGCCACATCATCTTAGTAGCTCCTAATATCATGGCCTTATATTCTGTCTCTGTTGTTGATCTTGCTAAAAATGACTATTTCTTGCTCTTCGACGAGACCAAGTTGCCACCTACAAACATGCAGTATCCTGATGTGGATCATCTGTCATCGGCACAACTTGCGCAATCAAAATCATAAAAGCCCTCAATATCTATATGTCCATTCTTCCTGAATGTCAACTCTTTTTTTCCTGGTACACTCCTCAAAATCTGATACACTGCATCTATATGGCTCTACCTTGGATCATGCATGTAACGGCTCATAACACTTACTGCAAAAGAAATATAGAGTCAAGCGCGGCATATATAGATCAGGCGGTTCACCAATCTTTGGTACCTCACACGATCAACTGATTCACCTGCCTCTATACTGAGCTTGACATTATGATCAATTAGAGAGATTGCAGCTTTGCAAGCCCCGCATGCCTATCTCCGTGAGAAGATCCGGTACATACTTTCTCTGGAATAGGAACATCCCCTTAGGTCCATAGGTCATTCAATCCCACAAAAGGATCTGAGCTATCACAGGTTTTTTTTTACCTCAAATTGCTTCTCTAATCTTCCATTCAGTTGATCAATCACCGTCTCATCATCACCAATAATAATTATGTCATCCATATACACAGCAAGTATGGTAGTATGACATTCATGTTGCTAAAAGAACACCGTGTGATCTGCATTGATATGCTAGTATCCTATGCCAACCATCGTCATTCTAAACTTGTCAAAATATGGTCGAGAAAACTGTTTCAAGTCACATAGTGACTTCTTGAGCCTACACACCTTGCCCACTGTCTTGAATGTACTGAATCCTGGTGATATCTTCATATATACCTCCTCTAGTAGCTCCCCATGAATAAAAGCCTTCTTCACATCCAATTGGTGGAGTCTCCATCTACCATTTACTGCAAGAGAACTCGGTGTCCTCGCTATGCTCATATTTGTTACTAGTGTCAAGGTTTCATCACAGTCAATATCATACGTTTGTTTGTACCCTTTTGCACTAGTCGTGCTTTGTACCTCTCCACATTCCCTTCTGGAGTTTGTTTTATCGTGAAAATCCACTTGCATACAAGGGCCTTCCTCCCTGTTGGCAGTGGTGCAATCTCCCATGTCTGGATTTTATCAAGAGCTCCAAGCTCTTAATGCATCGCGGCTTTTCACTTGGAATCCTCTTTAACAATTTGCCAACACTTAGGTATAGAGACAGAGTTCAATGATACAATGAATGTTTCATGCAAAGGTGAAATATTAGAATAAGAAATAAAATTTGCAATGTCAAATTCCCACCCAAAATGATCAGGATGATGTCTCGCATTTTTGCAGGAGGTCCTCCTTAATATTGAGGGGGAGGAGTAGATGGAGGAGCAAAAATATCACCTGGGAGTTTTAAATCAAAGGTGGATGGTGTAAGTGTCTCAAGGGTTGTGGAAAACTGAGATAAGGGACTTGTTAACACTGTAGGATCTGTTCCCTCGGTCTGTTTCTTCCTCCACGTATACACCCTTAGCTCGCCTTCAGCTTAAATGTTATCACCATTGGGGTAAATCTCCTCGATTTTTGTCCCTTAGTTGATTCATCCCACATCACAGGATATGATATTTCTCCCACTTACGTCATTCCATCACTACTACTACGCACTCTCTTGTCTCATATCTCCAGTGGTTCTCGAGTCGACGAAGGGTGAATTCACCTTCAAATTGTAGTATGGTTCAAACTCTTTGAATAACACATCCATATACACAATGTTTCTCTTCTCGATCGAGCTCCAACATACAAACCCCTTCTGAGTAGCAGAATATTAGACGAACACATATTTCAAAGCTCTGAGATCCAACTTTCCTACATATGATATGTTGTTTTTTACAAAGCATACACATTCAAATGCCTTCAATGGAAGGATCCCACTATTATCACATTTCAATATTTGACAATGAGACTTTCAATCCAACACGCTCGAAGACATTTTGTTGATCAATTGAGTCGCCGACAAAACCGCTTGCCCCCACACGTGTTTTGGGACATTCATTGTGATCATCATGCTTCGAACTACCTCTAAAATGTGTTTATTTTCCTTTCTGTCACTCTGTTTTGTGTCGGTGTGTATGAACATGTTGTTTGATGATGTATCCCTTAGGCTGACAAGTGTTCCCCAAACGTCTTTTTCGTATAGTCTCATTATCAGACCCCATACCTTCACTATAACACCGTATTGAGTCAGAATCATCATGTGTCTTTAAAACAAGCAAACACATCACTTTTATTTCTCATCAGATATAACCAAGTAACACGAGAAAAACAATCAATAAAAGTCATAAAATATATGTAACAAATTATCGAAGATGTAGAACAAGGTCTTCATACATCTGAATGCACCAAATCAAAAAAATAAAAACTCCTTTTACCAGAACTAACATAAGAGCTTCTAGTATGATTGTCAAACTCACAAGCATCTTGCACAAGTTTTTGTTTACTTACCTTTTTTCATACCATGATAGGTACAAAGAACTCAACAGATTAAGCGAAAAGCGTCCCATGCGCCTGTGAAGTAGCAGCAATACATCCTCCATACTCTTTCAGATCCTCCTACTCCAGCATTCTCAATGGATGTCAAGGCTGAGTTCATCCTCTGTCTATCCAAGTACAAGAGTTCACTATGTCAAGTGTCAGTCCAAAGTTTTCGACCAATCCCCTTCTCTCAAAAGGTCACCTTTGGAATATCAAATGAAACAACACATTTTGTTTGAAGTATAATGACACCATTGAATAAAAAGTTCACTGGAAAGAAATGAGCATGTAAAATATTGGATAAAGTCATAGAATTTATACACCTCACAATATATTTACCAAATATAGTTTGTGTTGTACCATCAGCAGTTTGAATGCTCTCTGGAACCGTTATGTGGGTATAGGAAGAGAACTCACTAGCGACACCTATCACATGTCGAGATGAACCAGAATCTACTATCTATTCTAGGAAACTTATGGTAGATATAGAGACAAGAACATGTGTATCAAAAGCACCTTTGGCTAAGTGAGCATAACTAGTAGTGTTTCCCTTGTATGAAGAAAATGTGGATTCATTCTCAGTGACATCACATATCGTCGTCTGCTTCCTCTTCAACATCTCCAAAAACTTGCGATCATCATCGATAAAGACCACCGTTGTCATTGGCTACCATCAAATTTGCCTGGTAGCCCCCTTTAGACAATCAATGTCCACCCGTCTCTCTCTCCTTGAGTGGATTTGGACAAAACTTACTCAAATGTCCCACTTCTTCACAGTTGTAGCACCTGCAGGTCTCCCATGAGCAACTGTCATAACTGAGCTCGATGCAGTCAATTCCTCATCGTCCTTCCCTGTCGTCAAAAAACCTTCGCGCGACCCAAGAACCATAGAAGTCTCACGCCCCCTCTTTAGCTCTTCTGCATGAAGTCGTAGTCGTTCTCAAGTGACACAATCCAATTGAAGCTTCGCCTACTTCCCTCGCACTACTCTGTCGATCGCACGCCACACAAAATCGATTGCACGTCTTTATTCACGCTAACAGTTCAAACCGCAACGCTTGCGCTAAAACAGAAGACGTTCAAACAGCCTGCTCCACTGCTTCCTCCTCACACTTAAGCCACGTTGTTGTTCTCCCCTTCAGTTCATCTCTACGGTATTAAGCCACAAGCCTTGAGCTGCAACTTGCGATCCCATAGTTGCCTTCCCAACAACTATATCACGAGGGTTCTTTGTCGTGATCCTTCCCAGCGAGTTGTGATCCTCTCGTTGCCTTCCCAGAGTAGGCTACGGCTGCGGCTACTTTGTGATCCCTGCTCCAAGCTTCCAGCTAGTTTGCGATCCCGCTTCGGACAATGTCGGTCCTACTAGTTCGTCATTCGCGATCCCAGCTCACCATTGCAAGGACGATGCCAATCCTACTGTTCACACAAGAAGGCAACGCCAAAGAAATCCGGATCGAGCTGGAGGCGGTAGGTTAAGTCTCTGATACCAAAGTAAATGATTTTGTAATTGAACTTACTGATTTCATTAATATTTTGGCTTAAATAGTCATACAAAATTTACAAATAAAATCCTAAACTTCTTCGATTAACAAATATAACCCAAAATTAGAGACAAATCTCAACAAAATCAACTGATATCTAATTGGACCAAAAGTTGGACAGGCCTCTAAAAAATTTCACATAATTCAATAGAATGTTCATAAGAATGCATTGGTCCAAACATGCCCATTTCATAGTATTGTTTAACCAGGGATGAGACTATATACCTACTTAAAATATGAATAGATACTTTTCTCAACTAATATAACCAAACTGATAAAATCAGCAACTCTGACAGACAAGAAGTCAAATGGGTATAACTTATGGATAAGTGGGGAGACACCTCTTCACCAACAACTATATAAGAATAAACTTGTACTGCTTAGATTCTATCCGCTCAAGAGAAGACCTTTGTTTTTTCCCTCCATTTTAGCCACTCTCAAATTCAGAGATTATTAGGTGAGAGCCTGATTCAAACTCAATTTTAGTCAAAGATTCCATATAAAAGTCTGCAAACTAGACTGAACACCTCCATTAGGAGCATTTCATCACAGGCCGGCATTATAGAAATATGTAATTTTGCTGTGGAAACAATAAGAGAATTTGTGGCCTATATTTTTAATTCTACCAAGAGGATCAAAAAAAGAATAGGTAGGGCAAAGCAACTCGATAACAATTCAAAGAGAACAGGACAAAATAAAAGAAATAAAAAGGGGGTTTTCAGGTTGAACAGAAAAGAGTTAACCTTTGGCCAACTCAAGAGAGCTAAAAATGCACGAAACGAAGTTCCTTGGAAGCTTGGGATTTCTAGTGAGCCGAAAGTCGTAGAGAGAAGGGAAGACGTTCAACGAAGCCATGCTTTGCGTCTGCATAAGGGATAGGCAAAAGATTATAAGAGTGTGCTCGTGCGAACGTGCGCCTGTGGGGAAGGATGGGAGACAGAGAGATAGAGAATGGGATACCTTTGAGAGAGAGAGAATGGGATACCTTTCAGGCCGGCGGATCAAAACCCTAGATTTTACCTGGTGATTGGGAGAAAGAGCACAGCATGGTTAAGAGCAAAGAGTGAAGCGGGAAAGAAAGTGGGAAAAATATCCTCCTTATCGCTTTCCGAACCCCGAAGCACTCTGAACACACTTTATTTACATGATATTAAAATATCATTAATATTAATTTTTTACTATAAAGATTTTTTTTATATTGATTATGATTTACACAACTAAATAATATACAAGTAAATATGAAAGTTTATATATTAAGACGCATAATTAAATATTAATAAAAAAAATGTTAAGTATGAGGATTTAAAGGAGTTTGTCTTGGATTTAAAGGACAAAATGCACTTATTTGATGAGAGTAAAGTCAACCCATCGTAATGGATCCGAGTGTCGTTATAGTAGTCAAACTAAAGTGTAGAAATTGGATTTAGGTTAGACTCAAGTAAATTTTAAGTCCAATGTGCAATTAAGCTTAAAATTCCACAAGGCTATTATAAATTTTAATTAGTTTATTTAGAATTGGCTAGCTAGAGTAAGCTATTACATTAATTAAGCTTTATTAAGATAAATATATTGCCTAAAAATACTCAATTATTCATCTAAACTTAGCCTAATGAGATTGAGACAAATTAATATTTAATCCAGTAAAGTTAAGAGCCAATTTAGTGTCCATTGTAAATTAATTGGGTTGAAGTATCAATTAGGCATAGTTAAAATACATGTAAATCAATTGTGGTGCAAATAACCTAAACTAAATAAAGCTACACGAGCATGGATAAAAAATATTAGTCCTCATTTAACTACTAAGAATTTACAAAAAAAAAAATTTATTTGGATTTGAGTCAAGTCAAACAAAGATCACACAAATTATTAATAACTATATAAGATTTAAATGGTTGTGTTGGCACTCATATTTAATAAATTCATATTAGATAAATTCATATTAAGTTGGTTTTGAATAAGATAAGAAGAAAATTTCTTTATTCAACCAAGCCCACTTGTTAATAAATACTACTTAACACATAATAGAAGCTTAATAAGAAAATAATACTTTTATTAGGCCTAACATGACCATATTAGATTAATTAAATAATAATCAAACCACTTTTAAATATTAAATTAAATTAGGACCAAGTTTAGTTAATAGAGATTTATCCAAACTAACATAGGCATTTAGGTAAATATAATAAAACTAGGAATATGTTATCTAAGGATTGTTAGATTATGAGCTCTAAGGCTCTTATCAACTTTAGATCCCAGCCTGAGCCTGTTACTGGTTTGTTAAGAACAGAGTAGGATTTTAGAAATTGATTGAGATGTTCTAAGGATTTTACTAAATTAGAGGATGAACTGACTTTGTTTAATTTATTTTAACGGGGTAAACCGTTTTATGTTTCCAAATCTCCATATTTGATTGGCTCTAGATAAAGATATTTATTAAAAAAGAAAGATGGTCAATCATCATTGGTGAATATGGTGGGCATCATGTACTAATGATTGATTAATGATTGATGGCATCAAATTATACTTTTTAAATATTATGATTAACACTCGTATCTAGCCTCTTCTCACATATCTTAAGTAGATTAAATTGCAAATATGTTAAATAATATATTCTCTTAAGAATGGCATCTAAATTTGTTTTGGATTAAAAATATTTATTTATGATCATTGGAATGGTTGATTAAAATTCTAAATTAAAGAACATGACAGCCAAAGTTTCATAATTTTGCTTGATTTATTGGGATTGGGAGAAAGGGCACAGCATGGTGAAGAGCAAAGAGTGAAGCGGGAAAGAAAGAGCGAAAAATATCAACCTTATCACTTTCCAAACTCCGAAGCACTCATACACAGTAATCAAGCTAGGAACACACTTTAAAGTGTTATCTACATGATATTAAAATGTCATTAATATTAATTTTTTAATATAAAGATATTTT